GAGCTCCACCGAAGGCCCCAGTGGCAGGGTTCGCATGCCTCCCCACCACCCATTCGGCACACCCCTCACACGTTTCGTGGCCCCATAGGGAGCTCCACCGAAGGCCCCAGTGGCAGGGTTCGCATGCCTCCCCACCACCCATTCGGCACACCCCTCACACGTTTCGTGGCCCCATAGGGAGCTCCACCGAAGGCCCCAGTGGCAGGGTTCGCATGCCTCCCCACCACCCATTTCGGCACACCCCTCACACGTTTCGTGGCCCCATAGGGAGCTCCACCGAAGGCCCCAGTGGCAGGGTTCGCATGCCTCCCCACCACCCATTTCGGCACACCCCTCACACGTTTCGTGGCCCCATAGGGAGCTCCACCGAAGGCCCCAGTGGCAGGTTCGCATGCCTCCCCACCACCCATTTCGGCACACCCCTCACACGTTTCGTGGCCCCATAGGGAGCTCCACCGAAGGCCCCATGGGTTCGCATGCCTCCCCACCACCCATTTCGGCACACCCCTCACACGTTTCGTGGCCCCATAGGGAGCTCCACCGAAGGCCCCAGTGCAGGGTTCGCATGCCTCCCCACCACCCATTTCGGCACACCCCTCACACGTTTCGTGGCCCCATAGGGAGCTCCACCGAAGGCCCCAGTGGCAGGGTTCGCATGCCTCCCCACCACCCATCTCGGCACACCCCTCACACGTTTCGTGGCCCCATAGGGAGCTCCACCGAAGGCCCCAGTGGCAGGGTTCGCATGCCTCCCCACCACCCATCTCGGCACACCCCTCACACGTTTCGTGGCCCCATAGGGAGCTCCACTGAAGGCCCCAGTGGCAGGGTTCACATGCCTCCCCACCACCCATTTCGGCACACCCCTCACACGTTTCGTGGCCCCATAGGGAGCTCCACCGATGGCCCCAGTGGCAGGATTCGCATGCCTCCCCACCACCCATTTCGGCACTCCCCAACACCCATCTCGGCACACCCCTCACACGTGTCGTGGCCCCATAGGGGTCTCCACCGAAGGTCGGGGGGGAGCTTGACACTGGTATCCTTGCGGTACTCGCAGCTGCATATGGTTGGGTCCTTCGCCAGGTTAATTTTTGTGTTACTTCTCCCAACGTTGCCCTATCAAGTAGTTAGGGCTCCGTTGAATGTCCCGCCCGACTGGACGCCCGCCCGCCGTCGTCGTCGCCGCCGCCGCCGCCGTCGTCGGTGGCTGGTCGCTTCTTTCACCCCAAACCTTGTCCCGTCAACGAGCGAGGGTTGCATCTCGATGTCCCGCCCATCCGCCCGACGTTGTCGTTGTCGCCGGTTGCTTTAGTGTCTGTTCCCCAATCTTGCCGCATCAGTGAGTGGAAGTCCCGCCCGACTGGAAGTGCCGCCCGTCAGCGTCGCCGCCTTTGTCGCCGTCGTCGCCGTCGGCGGGTCCCGCCCGTCGGCGTCGCCGTCTTTGTCGCCGTCGTCTTCGTTTTCGTCATCGTCGCGGCGGCCTGGTCGTCACTGGCCGTCGCTGCCCCGGGGGGAGGCGGGGGCGGGGGGGGGAGCTTCTCCCGGCGGGGGGGGCGAGGGGAGCCCATGCTCCAGAGGTAATAAGTAGGGGGGGCGCAGAGAGAAGGGGGGTCGACTTAAGTCGGGCATGTCCCTCTACAGGAGGAATATTCAAACATAGTCAGAAGGGGGCGAGTGGTCTATGTTTTCTTTTGACAATGTTTGGATATGTTTTGACTATTGTTAAATGTTCGTCCGAAATCCGCCCGTCGGAGAACATGCCCGACCTAGAGTTGGGCATGGGTCCAGGGTCCAGAGGAGGGGGGGAGGTTTTCCACGGGGTGAGGGGGGAGGGGGGGCGCGTTGTTCCGGAGGAGAGGGGGGGAGGTTTCGTTGGCAGCAAAGCGCTTGCAGAAAGTGCTCTCGCCCCACTCTCCAGCCTCCGCACTCAATCCTCCGCCCTCCGCCCTGCACCCGCCACCTCTCCAACACCCCACCCCCTCCATCCTCGATCCTCCCTCCTCGGACCTTTGCCCTAAACCCTGCACCCTCCGTCTGTCCTCCTCCTCCTCCTCCTCCTCCTCCTCCTCCTCCTCCTCCTCCTCCTCCTCTCGGACATCGGGCCTCGCCGCGGTCGGCGGGGCAGGGCCTCCCGCCCGTGGTCGGGCCAACAGTCGGCTCGGCGCGGCTGACGACCCGCTGCTCGCCGGATCCCGGGCCCACCCAGGCGCGGAGATGCCCGGGGGGCAGGTGACCCCACGGGGCCCCTGAGCGGCGTGGTGACCACACCGTGTGGTGAGTCAGCGGGGCTTCGGGGTGACCGCACGGTTTCGGGACTCGGGCCGTTCACCGAGGACGCCTCGGGCAGTGGAGGCCTCCAGGGCCCCACACGCCGTGCGGTGGCGGAGCGTGCGGGGTGAGGTCTCTGGCGAGCTTCCAGGGCGCCGCACGCTCTCCGTCACCGCACCGTGGCTGGGACTCCCCCACGCAGCTGGGGTCGGCGGTGACGGGGGTCGGCCAGTCACCTCCGATCAGGAGGAGGAGGAGGAGGAGGAGGAGGAGGAGGAGGAGCAGGAGGAGGAGGAGGACGAGGAGGAGGAGGAGGAGGAGGAGGAGGAGGAGGAGGAGGAGGAGGACCCCCTCCCCCTCCAACTGATGGTGGTGGTGGAAAACACGCCCCTCAGACACGGGTTTGGGGAGCCAAGGTGTGCCGACCCCTCCCCCCCTCCCTCCGCCGGCCTGAGCTCGGGGGGTCTGGATCGCGGCCGGCCCTGGCACGCGAGGGGGCCACGGCTGGTCCTGCTCAGCGCCGACCTGGGTCATCGCGTCCCCGAAGGAAGGAACCTGGAGACGATGAAGTATACAAGGATGAGGGCCAGAGCATGTGGCATACAGCGGTCGGGAGACGCACGACTCGGGTTCGCCAGAATGCGGGTTTGCCCACGTCTTTTGGTGGGCACGTCTCGATTGTTGACGGTCCAGTGTTCGCTGTTTGCAGCGGGAGCTCGCGTCAAAGTTTAGATGGTGTATCGTCCTTTTCCAAACGGCCCCGTCAGGCCAACCCGAGTCCCCCGAACCCCGAGTCCCGCGTCTCTTTGAAGTAAGAACATCAACCAAGAAACCAGCCTGCCAGCAGATGCCTCATGGAAATATCAAATCCCCCTAGCCCTTGGGACCGTCCCCACAGAAGCCTTTGGTCACTTGAGGAAGCTCAAAGTTTGGCAACATGCATGCCACTACATTTCTGGAATAATGTCATTGTTCATCGCGTACACATGTGGGGGGCGGATCTTGTCCACAATGCCGCCGTCACCGTCGTGAGCCTCAGACCGGACAAAAGCAGCAGCCGGGTCGTTTGCACATTGCTTGTTTGTTGCCGACGCTTGGAGCGTGTCCACGTGGACATGACAAGGAGAAGGATGACGCCGACAACGAATGACGGGAGGATGTCTGACGAGTGCGCGCACTTCATCCTGATTGTTTCCCTGGTGCCTGGCCGGAAAGGAGGGTGCACCCTATCGAGCGACCACTGGTGGTGCACGCCATCTTGCATGCTTCAGCTGTCCGACCCTCTTATCAGAATCGCTCTTTACTCCGACGTGCCAGGCTCATCCTGGCAACCTTCACCGTTTGACCTGCGGCGGAGTTAGAGGCGTACATTGACAGCCGCTTGGAATACGGGGGGGGCCTTGGTTAAGGATCGCGCACGGGAGGCTCCAGATCCGGAGGGTTCCTTGTTTGAAGGGGGCGGCGCAAATATCCACTTCCTTAACCAATGCCCCCACCGTGCTGCTCGGAGCCGGACTTCTAGCTGGGCCACATGACCATCAGCCTCGCTTCCTTAGCACCGCGCGGCTCGAGCCTGCAGGGTCCACGGGCTGTGTGTGCCGCGTGCCTCCTTTCTGGAAATCCATGGGCGAGGAGGCGGAGGTCGGAGCGGTCTTCGCCGCAGGCCGGAAGTGCACGGACCTGCCCTGCCTTGTTCTGTTTCTGGCATACCTTGGGGGCATGAGCTATATTACCGTTTTTGCCGTCCAGCACGGCGACTTACGGAAGCTGGCCGCTGGCATCGATCATGCGGGCCGCATTTGTGGCGTGGACGAAGGCGTGAAGAGCAAAGCATTGTTGTATTGGTGCCCAGACTCTGAAGTAGTTGACGGAATTCCTGGAGGGTTGAATTTGATGCAACCTATTTGCATAGAGTCGTGTCCATCAGACATAAGCATCACAACGCAATGCCCCCAGCCAGTAACAGTCAGTGTGCTTAACAAAACTGATCAGCTGGTGGTCACAGAATACACAGAAATCACTGCGGCGTTGAAAGCTTACTTGACCATCCCTGTTGGGACCATGTATTGCTTGCCCAACTTGACACATGTGGACCTGGTGCAGGCCAACGCGCTGAAGAACCAGGTTCTAGATGGAGACATATTATCCAACCCATACGTGCAGCTCGACGAGGCGATAGGAGGCCTTACGCATGCGGGACCGCTCCTGTTCGGAATCGTGGTTGGCTGTCTTGTTTTTAATTGGCTGTACCTCTGGCTGCTCGGCCGCATCGCCGTGGAACTGGTTTACAGCGCGATTGCCTTGGTCGTGCTCAGCTGTGCCACCACGGGGACCTTGCTTCTGCTGACGGCCCACAACGTTGGCGGGCTCCAGGGGAGCAATCCTCTCTACTCACACTTCTCCGAGTCCTGGGCGGGCGTCTACTCTCAGATCGCCGGAGGCACGCTGGTCCTCCTCGCTCTCGTGGTATTGGCAGTCGCCTGTTGCCTGCGCGACACCATGGGAAAAGTTGTGGGATGCATCGAGGCTGCAAGCGAGTTGTTGTCGGAGATGCCGTCCCTCTGGCTGGAACCCATGATCGCAGCCGTGGTGAAAGGCTCCATTGTGCTCATCATGCTGGCTGCTCTCCTGTACCTCGTGTCCCTCGGAGAGGTGACGCATATTTCGATCGACCTTGGACGTTCCAAGGCTAGTGGCCTCGGGCGGAGTTTTGAATACACCCAGGATGAATGGAGGATGCTGGTTTATTCAACCGCTCCGCGCACTCCGCCAGCCCATCTCATATGACTTCTGTAATTTGCCTGGACGCTCGTGAGGAATTGGCAGTTGTTGGGTCGTGGTAGTTACCAGAGTGTCTTCTGAAGCTCGCTGGGAAGTTCGAGCCGAAGCTCAATTGAGCACATGCCTACCAAAATGTTGCGACCAGAGCCACTGACACGGAATAGCAACTGAAGTTGTTGACGTTTCGCATGTTCCCAGTGGCCTATCCAGAACCGATTCCCAGGCGAGTTGCCTTGAGCAGGGAAGTGTAGTAGCACGCAGTGAACAGGGAGCGGGTATGTGAGGGACATTCGTCAATTCGGAGTTCGGGATCAGCCTGACCAGACCCAAGACGATGCGGACGACAAGGAAGGGTGAGGACGACGACTCGGAGGTGGAGGAGGAGAAGGAAGAGACGGAGGAGATGACGACCTGAGTCAACCAGAAAGGCTCTCGCACTTACGTCGCGCTCGAGCCTCTTAGGGGCACCTCTTCTGGCATCTTTGGTAGATCTGTCGGAGCCCTCTTCCCAGGGCCTCTTGGGGCCCTGCCGGGGGGGCCCTGCGGACCCTCCTGGAGCGATTCTGGCGGCCATCAATTAACAATGGGAGGGTTCCCGATCACCCCCCCCCCTCCTCCTCCTCCTCCTCCTCCTCCTCCTCCTCCTCCTCCTCCTCCTCTTCTTCCGTAGCCATTTTGGCTCAAGATGTTCACGCCCCGCGGTGTCAAAATGGGCACCGCTGAGCCGCGGCCAGCAGCTTCGGTCTTCTTTTTGTTCCTGCCACAACCACGGGCTTGCAGGCGCCCACATCCGTATTCATCCCTCGCACTGGTGTGCGCTGTGGCCTCCATATTCCGCGCTGGACAGTTCCTCCTCGCACCACCGCCTTCATCCAGCCGTTGGCCGACGAGTACTCCATGCGCTCCAAACCCGCCTCCGCCATGGCTGGCGTTCTCATGTCCACCGCCGCCAGCGGTTCTCTCTCGGAGGGAAAGCGTGGCAAAGGTGGAACTGGCGTCGCAGGCATCGGCGGCGAGACTGACAGCAAGGGGCTTCCCAGTGGCGGTCCATGGGCGGATGGTGCCAGCAAGCTCCTCGCCGACGCCATGTTTGCTCATCAGCGAAAAGAACTACAGGACCTACTTCAGCAACAAGTTGACAAAGCCGCTGCAGCATTCGAAGCCACTGCCAAACAAGTCACTGCAAACGCCCAGGCCGAGTTCATCGCTACCATCACGAAGACCACCCAGCAACTTTGTGCACGCACCGAAGCCGTCCAAGCTGATGTTGCTGGTCTCACATACCGCGCCGAGAAAGCTGAACGCGTCAATGCCGATATTCAGCAAAGCGTTCTCGATATCAAGCAGTCCATCCGCCATGCCGAAGCTCTTCATCCGTCCATCAACATCGACGCCCTGGGCAAGTGGGACAGACCACCGAAAGCAGCGACATTCTGGTGCGCCGCCCCCTCCGAGTTCAACGCTACATCGCTCAAGGCCGCTCTTCAAAGCTGGTTCAGCGCCGCCGAGGTGGACATCAACGCGATCCGCCTCAACTCGTCTGGCTCCGACAGGCGCATGTCTTCCACGCTCACTGGAGGTTCTCTTACCGCAATTCCTGCTGCCGCAGCTCTGCATAAAGCTCTTCGTGCAGGGAAAGACTGGCGCCGCTTCGAGATCGCCAGCACCGCAGGCACCGTCCCCTTGCACGTATCCGCCGACAAATCCCCGCGCATGGCCAGACAAGAGGTCCAGCTCAAACGCCTCAGTAAGCTCATCCTGGCCAAGCACCCCGGCATCGACATTCGCATCCACCGCACGCTGGGCACGCTCAATGTCGGTGGCTCGCCCATCTGCCAGGTCATTGCAGGTGCAACGCCCGAGGCCGCCACGCGCATTCGCTGGTCTGACGCCGCCGCGCCTGCTGGAATTCCCGCCACCGAGCACGACGCCCTGGCGAACGAGCTGGTCGCCGCCTTCGCGGACCCAATAGCGGCAGCGCAGTGGCTTTAGCACGCGATGGTCACCGTGGTTCATCAAACCACAGAAGGATGGCTTCAAATTCGCATCGTGGAACACGCGGGCACTCATGGGGAGATCGCCGACACGGAGAACCATCGAGCGCAGCATGCTACTGCCATGCAAGCGCCAGCGCTCTGTCACCGCGCTTCAGGAGACCCGCGGCAACTCCGCGGACATTCAGAACTTCGTCGGTGCCTCCACGCACCCGTGCCTGTCCTACCATTCCGCCCTCGTGAACGACGGCGGGCCCTCCGAGACCGCGGGTGGCATCGGCTTTCTCGTTCCATGCGACAAACGCGAGCTCGGGCTACTTGTTGATCAGCGTCCCGTCCGCGACTGTCGCCCCACTGTGCGCGGCCACATCGCTGAAGTTTAGCGTGAAGGACGCTAGTGGTCACACGGGGCGACGATCTTCAACGCCCACAATTGCGAGCTCTCGCATCACGATCGGCAGTTATTTAAGTCGGCATGGGACGCAGCTCAAGCTCGAGCAGCAGCCAGCCCGAGCACACACAACCTCATCCTCATCGGCTATTTCAACATCTCGGAGCTCCCGCCCAAGAGCCTCCTGCGCCCCATCGACGCCACCACCGCAGACAGGTGCCAGCGCCAGCCCATCTTCTGGAAGCAGATCTCCCCGACCATGATAAAAGTCACAACAAGATCTACCACGCACCGCAGTTCGGCAAACGTGACAGAGGCTACGATCGACCGCTGCTGCATCTCCACCGCCGCCTTCAACGTGCCCCACGTAGAGACCCACCTGGCCGTGGGCAGCAGACCCTTGGAGCGCGTCGGCGAGCCTGCAGGCGACCGCGCAATTCTTCGCCTTCGCCATCGACCGCGTGCACAGCGCCCTCCAGCCGAACGCGGCGCCCCCGCATTCATCTTCGAGCCCAAGCATTACAAGCTTTATGTCGAGCGCCTCGCGATCATGATCGACGTGGCTGGCATCGGCCTCCTACCGCGCCGGCGTGCAATGAAACATATCATGACTCTTGCGGCGCAGAATTCTCGCGACGCCCTCATCGCGATTCAGCCATCTGAGCTCAGGGGCGACAACCCCTCCATCCTCTGCGAGGCACGCGCCGTGACGCTGAGAAGCATCTCGCGCGCGGTCTGGTACCAGGACTGGAAGACAGCCAGGCTCCTGTCGCATGACACCATTGCAGGATCAAAGCATCTGCAGATTATCGCCGACAGGATTTCCATCATCGGCCCCGAGGCCTTCACGCACGAGGTCGACGCGACCCACCTTGCCATCGCCGGCCGCCGTAAGCAAGATGCCGCTGCTAGGTCTCGCGCTGCCTATCTGGAACACAATCCTCTTCTGGGCGACATGGAGGCAAACAGCTCGCCACGCCGCGCAAAGAGGTGAGCTCTGGAAGCCTTTCGCCAACGCGCCCTGGCTGGCATCCGCATCTCGGAAGGCCCCAGCTACCGCATCGTCGCCGACCCGATGGCCGCGCACAGCGCCATCCAGCAGCACTGCAGTCGCACCTGCGCTGCGAAGTCGGTCAACATTCACGACATGCAGAAGCACCTAGACGGAGTGTTCCCCCAACAACCGCACCTCCATCTACCACTCCCTGAAGTTCAAGATCTTCGAAACGCTGCCAGGCTCTCCGGAGACTCGGCTCCTGGCCCTGACGGCGCCCCCTACCGCGCCTGGACCATCTCGCCTCGCAGCATCGAGGCGCTACGCAAGCTCCTGCAGCGCATGGCTGACGGGGAAGCTGCTCCACACAACCTGAACTACGCGATGATGGCTATGCTCCCCAAGGGCGATGAGCCGCTCGGCAACTTCGAGCGCAGTAGGACCCCAGCTTGCCGTCGCCCGCCCGCCATGAAGAACAGCGACGCGAAGCTCATCGCGTCAGCCCACACTCCGCAAGCTACACCGCGTCGCCGCCAAGACGACCAAGGAGCAGCAGGGCATCGTCAACGGAAGGCAATTTCTCAACAATATTGCGCTGGCAGACCCCGTCGCCCGCAAACTCAGCATCACCGAGGGCGCCGAGCAGCTCATGCCGTGCTTCGCCAGCATGGACATCGCGGAAGCCTTCCCCAGCTTGCTTCACGACTGGCTCTGGGAGGTTCTCGGCAGATGGAGCTGCAACGCCCAGGTCCTCACGCTGCTAAAAGCATGTTACGAGATGCCCCTTGCCTTCCTCGAGATGGGTGGCACGAGGCGCCCGCTCTTGATCGCAGCCTCAGGCGTCGCCCAAGGCTGCCCGCTGAGCGGTGCGCTCCGGGCCCTCGTCTTCGACCCCATCACCCGCGGCATCAAACGCGAGCCATCGGCCGCGGCCCCATCGGCGCCTGCGCCGACGACCTTGGCATCATCCCGGCCGCGCGCAACACGACATCGAATAGATATTCCCCCATCTGCAAGCTGCCGAAATATTCGCTGGCCTTCATCTGCAAGCCACGACATGCATCATCGCCCCTACCTGGTCATTGCCTACGCCTGCCGTCATACGCACGATACGGACCACGCTCGCCAACGTCTACGCTCCGTGGAAGGACTTTAAGATCTCGAGCTTCGCGCGTTACCTGGGCGCCCACATTGGCCCTGGAGCCTCGCTATCTACGCAGTGGAAAAGCCCGGCAAGCAAGTGGTGGGACCGCGTCCAGATTCTCGCCGAGGCGAGATCTCCGCTGCAGCAAAGTATCAAGCTGTACAACGTCGCCGCCGTCACCTGCCTCTCGTACACCGGCCAGTTCCTCTCTTTCGCCCTGCTTTCTCGCCAAAGAAATTCACGGACTGCACGGGGTCATTCGAGCTGCGCCCTCGAGCGTCACCAATATGGACATCTTCTCGTTCAAGCGCTGGGCGGGCGCGGAAATGCCCCAAGGGCTGGAAACGCTGCTGGCTGCGACTACGTGACACTAAAACTCTGACAACCTGGCCTGCTCTTCTTCATGATCACCGTGAGGTTGCGGAAGATCAGCTTCCA